GGGCCCTTTGCCTCTTGTTGGCGGATGGTTCCAGCACTCGTTTTTTCTATCCCTAAAGTGTGTTGCCTGCTGCGAGCACATGATCGGTAGAAGTGTTACGGTCGGTGCTACGTGTGAACTAATGTTCCATCTTGAAATAAAACGACTACGGGAGCTCAACTTATTTATTTTCTTACTTGAGATATTAAAGCAACGAGAACTACTACCAGCAGCAAGCGGTTTCGTAATGAAGAATAGCGGTTCGTTAAAAAGCATATGCGAGATGTGGCTATAAAGTGATCAGTTAATAATACAATCCCATAACATACCTGATACCCCGTGAATACACCGGCGCGGTAGAAGCCTTTTTTATCGGTTATTTTGTTTCTTCTTTTTTCCTTGCTTCCCTGGTGTTTACTTTTCTGATTCGCTGAAAAACAAACATTCAGTTGATAGTCAGCTCTGTGTCTGTGAAATTTTTGTTTCCGGTCCTTTGCCGAATGGCGCTGTTCCGACCCATGTAGTATTATCTCTACCCTTACACCGTTGACGCGAATGTTTGTGTTTGGGAATAGAGCCGTAGGGCATTATGTGTCAACCCTTTCAGCAGCGGCGTCGCGTAATGTTTTACCACTTGTGCTCTCTTCGCCTTGCCTCTTTCGTTCTCGATGGCTGCCAAATGTATACATTGACACGCGGCCGTTCCACATCACGCGAATTCCTGCGCAATTCCAGCGCACAAACTTCGTGTGGAAACTGCGCATTTGTAGAAAACAATAGACACTGGGAACATAAAACAATTTTTCCTGCAGAATAGCGTTATCGAACACGGGCGACGTTAGGGCAAAGGTATGGAAAGATTCTTAATGGCACACTTAACTCCAATTCGCTAATTATATTTCTAACTATTTGTCTTGGCGAACTTTAAAAGTAAACTACAAAGAAACAAAACTTTTTTTTTTAAGATCATAAATGGGACACATATATTGTTCGTAACTTTTCCAAGAGAAAATCAAAACTTTTCGCGCAATATATACGTGGTTAGACGCAATTTAGGTGCAGGTCACTACGCGTCCCAAGCCATGCCCCACAAATCAATTACCCAGGCCATTACTACTAGATCGGCATGGCTGCTTGGCCGAACACTCTAGCAGGCCTAGTGTCCCTTTCGCGACATCCTCCGTGTAGTCTGTCTTCTGAAACCGCCTGCTGGTTGTGCGAGCAGCGCGCGGCAGCTGCCGGAATCGTCCGCTATATGAGCACAACCAATGGTCGTCTTCCATGCCGAAGGACGCGGACATGAATGCTGTCCGTCGGCGTCCGTTTTCGATTTCGTCCGTTGGCTATGCCGAACCCCCCCCCCACCCCCCCCCCCCCCAAAAAAAAAAAGAAACATTTTTACAACGCTTGCAAGACTTGAAAATGAAAGCGGCGTTGTGGCGTTCCATCTTGCACGACCTACAGGAGAATAAACCTTTTGCCGAATTACCCAAGCATAAAAAAAAAAATGCGGGAACGCAGGTACAGGTGCTGCACGTGCTGGCGTCTTTAACTCCAACTGTTCATAAGCAAAAATCTAAAATAAATGGCACGTCGTACGCGCGTCTTACGGATGCTTTTATAGAGAGCATTAGAATAGGGACCCCAAAGCTTGGGGGCCCCCAAAAAATAGGGACGCAGCACTTCGCATGCGGAGAACCCAAACTCCATTTGGGGCTGGCTCTCGCCCTCAACGCGAAATTCGAGAAATAGCATGGGGCCCCTATTCGCCTGGGTCCGGGTTGCGTCGTCAAACATGGCGGCGCCATTTCCGCTCGCTTCGGAGCAAATTCGTCATGGTCGCTGCAGTATTGACTAATTCTATTGCCAATTAATAATAATAATAATAATAATATTAGTCTTTATTGATCAAAATCAACAGTACAAAATGTCAGGTCTGCCGAAGCCGGTTAGGGCTTCTGTGGTGCGACCTGGCAGTGGAAGCACATTTTTCACAACAAAAATACAACACAAATTAGCGACTGGTACTCAAAATTTAGAATGCTTATTTCTTCCATTAAACAGTCTCTTGACATTATTTTTAAGGTGATAATTCCATTTGGAAGTAAATTCAGAGTCAGGTAATTCGTTGAATATTTTCGAAACATAAAATAAAAAAATGAAACATAAAATGAAAGAACTGTGCTGTCTGTCCTTGTCCCTAAGTGTTTTTATTCTTTCTTTGACTCCTGTATTTTCACCAACACGCTCTTTCATCTTTGTCTTTGTTGCTTTCCCCATAGCGACTATATACACCTGGGACTTCAAAGCGAGTATTGCACCTTGTTGTACGTGGTGCAACTCTTTGAATGATAAAGTCCCCGTTCCAAAAGTAGTGCTGCACGACAGTTTGCAAAAAGAGAGAATAAAAACAAGGTAACTGAAGTAAGGCGAAGATATTGTCACTTGAACATAGCGATAAATTGCAAGACACATTTTTCAACATCCCCTTTAAGATACCATCGATTCTATCGTGCCATTGCAGGGAACAATTTAAAAAAAAGAGAGTTATGCCGTATCGGAGCACACTATAGGCCAGAGAATGCATTATCAACTTTCTCACTGCAAACAGAAGAAACATTTTTAAATTGTAAAGCTGGCAGGAAACACTTCGGAGACGGTTCGCAACAAAAGCCATATGCGTATTCCATGATAAATCGAAATCAAAAAAGATACCAAGATACTTCACAGAATTAACATACTGGACAGGAGTGCAGCAACAAGGAACACAGTTAGAGCCATGCAAAAATAGGTTCGGGAAGACAGTGAGCTTTTTCCAAGGGCTGCGAAAACAGACGAGCTTAGTTTTTAAAGAATTCTGAGTTATTCTGTTTCCTTTGAACCAATCCATGACTGCGACAGCATCCGTTTGTAGCATTCGCATAGCGGGTTCAATATCGGTGTGACTGGTGAATAAAAGAGTGTCATCCGCATATTGTAGCATGTTACTAGTCACAACAGAAGGAAGATCGTTTACATAGATATTGAATAATAAAGGAGATAGTATGGAACCCTGCGGCACTCCAGAGAGGAGAACTTCGCTACTTCGAACATTACCTAAGGACACCAACTGTGAACGTGACCGTAAGTAATTTTGCAGCAGAGCGAAGAAAGGACCTCTGAATCCTACACGGTACAATTTTTTAAGTAAAATTGCATGATTAATAGAATCAAATGTTTTTTTTTAAATAAAAAAAAGAGCGCATACACAAGAGTTGTTATCAAAAGACGAATGAAGGAAGTCGGAGAACACGTCTAGTAAGCATGACGTGCCACGCCCCGTGACAAAGCCATGCTGTGAAGAGGAGATAATACAATGCTTATCAAGAAAACCATTCATGGAAGCCAATACGCGTTTTTCTAAAATTTGTGATATGCATGGCAGTATCGAAATGGGCCGATACGATGACAGCAAGTTACGAGGGCCACCTTTGTGGATAGGTACTACGATTGCTGTTTTTAGATCTGCAGGCAAACAGCCAGAACATATAAACCCATTTATCATAGCTACTAGTACTTCTGCAAGCACATCAAAATTATCACAGATGTCTTTGGTAGATATACCATCGATTCCGGGTGATTTATTTCTTTTGAAGGAAAATAGAATGGAACGCAATTCGGCCCTTGAAATTGCAGTAAGAAACGCAGATGACGAGACTATATTTATATCATAAGCGGGCGCACCATCCTCTGTGCTATTACAAATGGAAAAGGCAAAATGTTGAGCAAAAGAAGTAGCTGTGGTAACTAAATTGGTTCCAAAGCTCTTCTCCAACAGGTCAGAGGCACTTTTTCGAGAGACACCGCGAAGCTCGTTAATTATGGACCACGTTTCCCTAGAGTTGAAACGCGCGTTATAAAGTTTTCCTGTATAACGATTACGTTTAGCAGAGCGTATTAGTGCATTTACATGGTTCCGAGATGCCTTGTATTTCGCTCGCAACTCCTCATTTCTGGGCGCACGCCGCCTACGCTTCCAAAGAAGTTCCTTATTTTTGATGGCCTGAAGAATGTTGTCGTTGAGCCATACTTGTTCTGATCTACGCTTTTTATATTAACAGTTACTGTGCTAGGATCCCTAAAAGTTTTAATAAGCGAGACTACTTTAGAATAGAGTTGAGATGGGTCTTCTACACGTAGGAGAGACTCCCAATCATAGGAAGTAACAGGATCATTAAAAGAGGAGCGTTTAAGGAAGTTAAATGTTCTTGACACCCGAATAGGTGTTTGCCTATGTTCACTGGAATTAATCTGAATACCAATGAAATAGTGGTCAGCTTATTTTTCGGTGATAACAAACGATTTAACTGAGTTAGCGTCTGGTGCCCTAACGTTTATATAGTCAATACAAGATGTAACCAGCTTCTCCCTTAAGAATTCTACTCGGGTTGGAGCAACTATAGTATTTTCAGTGCCAAAACTAGCCAAGTAGGTTCATATAGCCACATACTAAAGGAACATTGTCTTTTAGCGTATCGATATTCAAATAACCATTGATGCATATATTTTTTATTGTCAATGACGTATTTAAAAAGTTTTTAAGTTAATCTAGAAAAGCAGCAATATTACCCGACGGCGGTCTATGCACTGCCAATAATGACGCTATAACATCAGATTTATTAATGTCAAACGCCATTGACTCAGCATGACTGAAGTGTACAGGCACTTTTGTCGTTATCTGGGAGTTCCTTATGAAAACGCCAATGCCACCCCCCCTGCCCGAGGGGCGCCTAAAAGAGAATTCATTTAAACCATTAATAGTGAACAGTTGCAACGCTGCTTCAGGAACATTATTTTCCGTTAAAACATAAACATCAACACAATTACCCAGGTTCTCGACAATAAGCAAAAATTGATCCCCGTATTTCCTTATGCTAAGAATATTCACATGAACAACTGTAACGACACTAGTATAAGATGACTGTAATTCTTTTTTGAAGAAACAAAAGTCGGGGCACTCAAGGAACTGTACTGTCATGGCTCTAGTTTATCTTTTCAAGGTCCTGTTCATATCGGATACGGACGGACGTGGCCCCATCTGCTCGCTTAGCAAAGACCTTTCCGTTGCGCACCCAGACATATTTAAAATGATTGACCTTGCCACCGGTTCTGGCTAGCCAGAAGAGATTACAGTTAAACTTTGTTAGGTTCTCATTGAAGTATATCTGCGGAGCAGACTTGTTAAGCACTAGCGTACGCAGTTTACCTCGCGCGTTCAACCAGGATCCACGAACTTCACCTGATACAAATTTTATCAGGACCGGAGGCGTTTTCCCTTCTTGTCCGTGCAATCTATGTAGAGTGATGATTTGGGAAGTGTGAAAGGAGGACAATTCCAATTGCTTAGCGAGGTCAGCAACGTTCTGTATCAGGTTTTCGTTGGGAGTTACAGGCATTCCGTGAATTTCAAGGTTAGGAAGGCGACTGTGCTGTTCGGTCTCGTTCAACTCCGCTTGCAGTTGCAAGATAGAGTCAGCATTTTCCGATATGGTAGTTCTAAGTAGGGACACCTCCACCCTGAGCTCTTTCACCCCAGTCTCGTTGGTGGTTGTTTTCTTGAGTAATGTTTCATACTGAGCCGAGTTAAATTCCACCGACTCCTTCAGCTCATTAACCGTAACCCTCAATTCACCAATTGTGGACTTCATTACGAGTAAGCCGTCCACCTTGCCAGTTAGAGGGAGAAGGGATTCCATTTCTTCTTTCAAAGGCAGGAGTTGATCGAGTTTCGCGTTCATGCTGGCAAACAAGGCAGAGAAGTTAGCGAAATCAGGCTGAGAGGCATCCACGTCCGACACCGAAGTCGCCCGCCCATCTTTAGCCCTACATGTTTGGCATCGCCAATTTTCGCACTTTCTAGGCCCCATGCTTACAAACGTAGTTTCCGCGACACCAGAGCATATGTTGCCAAGGTGATACAAGAAGGAACACTCCGAACAACATAGAAAACGGTTATCATAGGGCAATGTCTTAGCGCATGCTAGGCAATCGCTTGAGGCCATGATGCACCTAAACGACGAAGCAAGGCAGAAAGACACTCAAAGTTACAGTCGACGGCCGTACAGTGAAAAGAAAAACGTCGGCTAAGAAGTTGCGCTCACCTGCCGTACAAAATATAAGGTTGCAGACAAGCCGAAGAATGGCCGCCGACTGCGAAGACACAGCGTACGGGAGCTGTTTTTATCGCTGTCCGAGAGACAGTGACGTTGATGAGATGCCGGCCAATCCTGGTGCTATGGGTGAGTCCATAGTAGACAGGGGGTATTCGGTGTCTTTCAAAGCGGGGGCCGCAAGCAGAATCATGCGATGAGTCCAGGGCGGCGATCCCGGCGATGACTATGCCGAAGGCAACCTGCCGTACAAAATATAAAGTTGCAGACAAGCCGAAGAATGGCCGCCGACTGCGAAGGCACAGCGTACGGGAGCTGTTTTTATCGTTGTCCGAGAGACAGTGACGTCAATGAGATGCCGGCCAATCCTGGTGCAGTGGGTCAGTCCATAGTAGACAGGGGGTATTCAGTGTCTTTCAAAGCGGGGGCCGCAGCAGAGTCATGCGATGAGTCCAGGGCGGTGATCCCGGCGATGACTATGCCGAAGGCAACCTGCCGTACAATATATAAGGTTGCAGACAAGCCGAAGAATGGCCGCCGACTGCGAAGACACAGCGTACGGGAGCTGTTTTTATCGTTGTCCGAGAGACAGTGACGTCGATGAGATGCCGGCCAATCCTGGTGCAGTGGGTCAGTCCATAGTAGACAGGGGGTATTCAGTGTCTTTCAAAGCGGGGCCGCAGCAGAGTCATGCGATGAGTCCAGGGCGGCGATCCCGGCGATGACTATGCCGAAGGCAACCTGCCGTACAATATATAAGGTTGCAGACAAGCCGAAGAATGGCCGCCGACTGCGAAGGCACAGCGTACGGGAGCTGTTTTTATCGTTGTCCGAGAGACAGTGACGTCGATGAGATGCCGGCCAATCCTGGTGCAGTGGGTCAGTCCATAGTAGACAGGGGGTATTCAGTGTCTTTCAAAGCGGGGGCCGCAGCAGAGTCATGCGATGAGTCCAGGGCGGTGATCCCGGCGATGACTATGCCGAAGGCAACCTGCCGTACAATATATAAGGTTGCAGACAAGCCGAAGAATGGCCGCCGACTGCGAAGGCACAGCGTACGGGAGCTGTTTTTATCGTTGTCCGAGAGACAGTGACGTCGATGAGATGCCGGCCAATCCTGGTGCAGTGGGTCAGTCCATAGTAGACAGGGGGTATTCAGTGTCTTTCAAAGCGGGGGCCGCAGCAGAGTCATGCGATGAGTCCAGGGCGGTGATCCCGGCGATGACTATGCCGAAGGCAACCTGCCGTACAATATATAAGGTTGCAGACAAGCCGAAGAATGGCCGCCGACTGCGAAGACACAGCGTACGGGAGCTGTTTTTATCGCTGTCCGAGAGACAGTGACGTTGATGTGATGCCGGCCAATCCTGGTGCAGTGGGTCAGTCCATAGTAGACAGGGGGTATTCTGGGTCTTTCAAAGCGGGGGCCGCAAGCAGAGTCATGCGATGAGTCCAGGGCGGCGATCCCGGCGATGACTATGCCGAAGGCAACCTGCCGTACAAAATATAAGGTTGCAGACAAGCCGAAGAATGGCCGCCGACTGCGAAGACACAGCGTACGGGAGCTGTTTTTATCGCTGTCCGAGAGACAGTGACGTCGATGATATGTCGGCCAATCCTGGTGCAGTGGGTCAGTCCATAGTAGACAGGGGGTATTCGGTGTCTTTCAAAACGGGGGCCGCAAGCACAGTCATGCGATGAGTCCTGGGTGGCGATCCCGGCGATGACTATGCCGAAGGCAACCTGCCGTACAAAATATAAGGTTGCAGACAAGCCGAAGAATGGCCGCGGACTGCGAAGACACAGCGTACGGGAGCTGTTTTTATCGCTGTCCAAGAGACAGTGACGTCGATGAGATGCCGGCCAATCCTGGTGCAGTGGGTGAGTCCATAGTAGACAGGGGGTATTCGGTGCCTTTCTAAGCGGGGGCCGCAAGCAGAGTCATCCCTATTGAAAATGAGACCTTTCAGCCCTGATGTGTTATGAGTCGGCCGGGTGAGCGAGCAGACACGTCACCCCCTCTCCTCTTTCGGCTTCTGATTGGTCTAACATACCCGAACGCTTCGGAAAGTTGAGCGAGTCTCTACTCGCTTGCGTCGCGCTACCGAGCGTTGCGGGAAGGCGCGCGACGCACCGCGAGCGACCGCGCCTGGCCGCAAGGACTCCGCAATGCACTGAAACGCGAATGTGCGTATGGACCTTAAGTGGCTAGGGTACTGCATTCCTGCCAACTCTTAACTATTATATTTACTCAACTTTAGTGCGACAGGAAACTGTTCACATTGGCCAATAGAAAAAATAAAACCTCTAATGTAATGCAGGGCTAATGGGGGAGTACAATAGTATAATATTTTTCAAACTAAAAATCTTTCAGCCTTTCTACACTGGTGAAGAAGGAAGGCCAGCGAAGCTGTCCTATGGTGGGAATGAAGTAGTGGCCAGCCGCAAGTCGACAAGACAGAGTGGAAAGGCTGGAAATGTTGAGCTGTCTATGAGCAACGGCGACAACCAGTAAACCGGCTGTCTGCTTGCCGCCGTCGCTCATAGATGGAGGTAGCTGTCCAGAGTGTTGTGTCAACATTTATTTGCTGGCGGACACGATCCATGGGAGAAATAGCCCTTAAAGCTCCGCTGTAACATGTTTAAACATTGATATTTTACACTGTGTGGACTATGTACCCGTGCGAACCACACAACAATTTTTGTTTATAAATCGTTCATTATCATGAGAGTGGTGCAGTCCGATTGCTGAATGTCATGATCACGGCATTTTAAGCTGGGTTTAAGGAAGCAACACAAGATTATACTGTCAGTGTTGCCAGGCTTTCGATACCTTGCGGGCTGCACATTGTTTGCTTGGGTGCCCCTGACAGAACAATATGGATCAAGGATAATCTTGAGGAGAAGCTCCGTGATTGACCGGGGAACAGGACACATCGTCCCCTTTATGGTATGTTTCATATGTTATTTAAGTATGGGGTCTGTATCAACCTGACTAGTCAGCAGTCATGGTGGCTAAGAATGTTGCACTGACTAGGATGTCTCGATGCCAGCAACACCTTGCAGGGTGGGGACACCCTTTGACCCGCGCCGCGCTGCAACTTCCCCGCCGGAACACCATATTGGTTGGGCACGCAGCAGAATCGTGCTTGAAAACGTCTGTCTGACCTCATTAATCAAGGGACAGAGCTGGCATCGGAACGTCGGGATTTGTAATGAAAGATATTTTATCAGAGTTCTGTTATGTTTGCACCAAACATATTCCTCTAACCAGGCAAAGTACTGCCAAAGCTTTACATTTGAACTCAAAATGAGATAATGCAAACAGATTTTGTAATGGCACGTAGACATAAATTTCACTTTATGGTTGTAATTGTTTAAATTCTTATATCTTTAGGTGAAAAGTACACGACATAAGCACTGGTGTTTTCTTACCTCCTGGCATCGGTGCACTTTTCAATCAGAAACCTGCGGATTTGTTTTGCACGTTTCACAGCTTGCGGCTCGGGCACCTTTTGATTAATGAGGCGGGTAATGAAGAACGCTGGAAGAAATACACAGAGAATAAGTTCGCACTTATTTTTCAATAGCTAATATCTTCAAAGCAGGTGTGGCAATGTATGATTCCCATTCCCTCATTACTTTATTTGCAGATTGCAGTATAATTAAATTTCATGAAGCTGCAGTTTTAAGTGCCACTGTTACCACAACCCTTAGACATCTCTGGTCTTGATGCTTTTCGGCACATTATAGAGAACTTTCCCAGACAGCTGAACCACCAGAGGCACATTCTTTGTGCTAGGGGGAACTAATCAAATCAAAAGCAGAGCATATTAGAAATACAAAGTTGAAAATGAACACCGGCCTAATTTTCCTGACTTGATATACCATATTTACTCGAGTAATAGCCGCAAAGAACAGGCCCCTTCCGTCTGCGTTACCGCAATGCACATATTGCCACGCGCGTTGGCGAGCAAGCGCGTGCGTGGCTGAGTGGTTACCGCGCTTGACTGTCGCGCGGAAGGTGTATGTTTGATTCCAGTTTGCAAACTGTCACTTTATTTATTCTTTCAACTTGGCCTTCTAGTAAGTTCGAGAACATTCTCGCCTTGTCGAGTTCCGAATGTTCTACGCACCGAAAGTTCCTACGCCGAACGATCCAGAAACCCACGGGGCAACATAAGGAAATCCGCAAGGCGAGCCGAGTCAGTTTCACACCAGCGTTCGATTTGACACTGCTCTTTTGCCGACTTCACGATGCACGCGACACTCTGCTGGTATCTTCTGTTTCCTTTTTATTTTTGGGCACAAGTTCGCCCCATTAAACGTTTAGTTTCTTCAGTTATTCGTCGCCTCATCACTTGTCCTTCGTGACAATATACAGCCAATCACAGCGTTGCACAAAAATAACATGCGAAAAGCTAGATCGAGAGCACGGATTCACCATAAAAATGCAATCTTCACAGACGGTATATTCGTGCGAAGACGTTATCTCTGTCCAGTAAACCGCTGGAATCATGCTGCCGATCGCGGTGATTGGCAAGCTGCATGCTCCGCGGAAAAGCGAACCTTTAGGTTTTCTCGAGTAAATACGGTATGTGGGGTAAACTTGCCGTGAAGTTGCCCAC